TGTCATCCTCATTGTGAGGGCCTGTTGCTGTGTGCTGGTGTGTCTGGAGGTGGTCGTCGGTTGCAAGGCGGTTGTGCCAGGTGCTTATGTCGCTGGTGCTGCAGGTAGGCCAGAGGTCAAGGATGTCACCAAGATGTGCCAGGGCAATTGTGCCACAGGAGTAGTTGTCGTGCTGGTGGTAGTGTGTGTGGGAAAAGATGCTTTCGCATTGCTTGTTCCATTGGTCAGCAATGGATTTGGCCAGAAAATATCCTCCAGTATGCGCTCTGTATGGTAGCCCATCGAAGATCGAGGCGATGAAACCGGTCTCGGTAGGCTCGGTGACGAGGAGTGCCCAATGACCGTCATAGGCAAATATGATGGTGGTGAGTGTGTTGGAGTCGTACTCTGCGAGCGCAGTGAGTGCCTGGGGTGCAAGAGCAAGGCCTTTGTCGACATGGCCGTGGATGAGGATGGGTGCGGGACATTGGTATGGTGGCCCGCCAACTTCGCCGTGGATGCGGGCTATGCGGAGAAGCTCTTTGCTGATCTGTTGATCGCTGAGTCCGAGTTCAGTGGAGCCTCCGGCGATGAAGGGGCATCTGCAAACAATGGTGGAGTTGAGCCACAGTCGAAGATCAAGGCGGAGAGGATCTCCCCTGAGGTCAATCGGGGGAGTGTCGACGGGGTGGATGTGTGCAAGGTGGCAGGCCTGGAAAAGGAAGGTTCCAGCTTGGAATGTGGCAGTAGTGGTGGTAGCTCCAACGTGGAAGGTGACCTCAATGTCTTGTGTGCTTGGTGAGGGGAAGGTCGTAGTAGGAGAGCATAGCGTGTACGGTCCGTGGAGTCCTTGATCCTGTAGTACAGCATCTGTCGGGACTGGCCGATGTCCATCCCAGAGCTGGAGTTGTTGAGGTAGCTCAGCAAGACAGGCTTCAGCTTGAAGGAGTTCACCTACGGTCTGATGCCCTTCTCGAAGGAGATAGATGTTGGTTCCATCGCTGTGCTGGATCCAGACATGACGGGTGGCGTGGGAGTCGTTGGTGACCCAGTGGTGGTACCTCTGCCAGAGGAGATCCTGCTTGGCTTTCTTGGTGAGCTCAAGTGGTTGGCAAAGGGGTTCCCACCCAAAGTGGGTTTGTACAGCTCGCGCAAGATGGAGACATACCCATTGTGCTTGCAGTGGAGCAGCCACTTGTCCGATGAGCGCCAGACCAGCTCGTGCGTCGCCTGGAAATTTGTACGTGACCGGGATGGTGCAGAGGATTGCTGCCTCTGACGTATGAAGAAAGCGCGGCTTTCCTGTGACCTGCGAGATGATGTAGCAACCTCGCACACCTCCTCTTTGGAGACGCTCCAGACTGAAGGCAGCTTGCCTGCATCCACATGGGCATTTGCGAAGAACGTTGCCGTAGGAGTGCAACAAGGTAGGGCATGTGCCGGTTTGTTGTAGCAATCGTTCTTCTTGGCCGAAGTTGAGGTCGGTGTAGTAGGTGATCTCCTCCTGATCGAGTTGGAGGAGCTGCTCTTCCTGTGGTTCCCACAACGGCCAATCAGGGATGATGTGTTGGATGGTGCTGTAGCTGGTGTCCTTGGGCCAGGCCTCAAAGGCTGTCAAGTCGAACTCCTTCGGGGCGAGGATGGCCCACCATCTGACTCGATTGCATGGCCATTGATCCTGAAGAGACAGCACTATCGTCTTCACCTGGTAGCACATGAGGTCCGCCAGGTAGTTGAGGTTCTCCTTGATGAAGCTGTGGCTCTGGACTCCCGGGACACATTCAAGGATGAGTGAAGATGCCTGCGTGAGCCAGGCTGCCTGCAAGGTGGCTAAGAAGACCAGAGCACGAGGATCGTTCTGGCCTCTCTGGTCTCCTTGCGAGCTATAGGGCTGGCACGGGAATCCAGCTCCAAGTACTGTTCGTCGATGCTCGCTGGCTTCATGAAGCTTTGCGATGTCCTGAGTCTGGCGCAGGTCGCCCTGGATCACGTTGGTGGCGCCGTTCAGCTTGAGGGCGTCGCATGCCAGCTTGCACTTGTCCAAGTAGGCTACTGGCTTGATGCCAGCTTGTGAGGCTCCTAGTCCGAGACCTCCCATTCCAGAGCTGGAAGTTCTCGATGCCGAGGGGCTCGTGTGCAAACCATTTTGAGTGCTCCAGGGGCAGCACATATGCCGAGCCATCTGACGACTGGCTAGCCACAAAGTTGTACACAGTGATGAGCCGCCCACTGGGAAAGGTGTTGGGCAACCAAACGGACCTGCCGACGGACTTCTCGAACGCCAGGACGAAGGTGCCCTTGTGCACGTCGCTGATGTAGAGCACCCCAGTGAAGGCACCCTCCAAGGGCACGAGGTTCACGATCCAGTTCGGAGGCATGGCAACCCAGCACCCGAGCTTCGGTTGGAAGCAAGTCTACCACTGGCAGGTCTCGGGCCGAGACTTTCCCAAGCCTTACAAAGCATGACCGAAACGATACAAACGAGAAAAACCCATACCTCATGACAAAGTGAACATCTCGGGGCCTCGCATGACCAAGCAAGCAGCAATGTTGTCATACCCGTGCACCTATGAAATTTATGGCCGCCGCATGCGCTTTTTGGAATTGCAACGACAAAACGAGCAATTGCTCCAGAACGAGCTCTTTGGAATGACTCCCATCGTTTGATGGGTACGCTTCACACGTGCTATAGTTAATGTGAATGTGCGTGTATTAAACACCCTACGTATATATGGGTTTGTATTTTTTTAGGGTGGCCGGGCAGGAAGGTTTGAGTACGGGGTATGATTCGCAGGTATGATTCGCGGGTATGATTCGGGGTATGATTCGGGGGTATGATTCGCGGAAGCAGCAGCCGCAGGAGCAGCAGTAGTAGTAGCAGTAGTCGCCGAAGTAGTAGTACTAGTAGTAATATTGTAGTAGTAACAATAGTAGTAGTAGTAGTAGTAGTAGTAGTAGTAGTAGCAGTAGTAGTAGTTAGTAGTAGTAGTAGTAGTAGTTGTTGTTGTTGTTGTAGTAGTAGTAGTAGCAGTAGAATGAGTAGTAGTAAATAGTAGTAGCAATAGTCCTAGTAGTAGTAGTAGTAGTAGTAGTAGTAGTAGTAGTAGTAGTAGTAGTAGTAAGAGTAGAAGCAGCGACTGTAGTGGCGCGGAAGCTTTGAAAAGACTTGGCGCTGGCCTTGGCAAGGCAAGTTCATTGCGCGGTATGATTCGGGTATGATTCGGGTATGATTCGCGGGTATGATTCGGCTAGGTGCAAAACGGGACTGATTGCAAACTCGTAGTAGCTGTGGTAGTAGTAGTAGTAGTAGCAGTAGTAGTGGTAGTACAGAAGTAGTGGTAGCAGCTGTGGCAGAAGCAGCAGCGGCTGTAGTGGTGCGGACGCTGTGAAAACGACTTGGCACTAGCCTTGGCAGGGGAAGCTCATTGTCCGGGTATGATTCGGGTATGATTCGCGGGTATGATTCGGCTAGGTGCAAAACGGCACTGGTTACAGACCAGAAGCAGGAATAGTAGTAGTAGAAGTAGTAGTAGTAGCAGCAGCAGTAGTAGTAGTAGTAGTAATAGTAGTAGTCAAGGTTGTAGTCGTAGTAGTAGTAGTAGTAGTAGTAGTAAGAAAGGTAGTAGTCGTAGTAGTAGTAGTAGTAGTAGTAGTAGTAGTAGTAGTCAAGGTTGTAGTCGTAGTAGTTAGTAGTACGGGTAGCAGTAGAGTAGTAGTAGCAGCGGTGGTAGCGGTGGTAGTGGTAGTAATACTCGTAGTCGCGGTAGTAGCAGTAGTAGTAGAGTAGTGGTGGTAGTAGCAGTAGTAGTAGTCATTGGTAGTAGTAGTAGTAGTAGTAGTAGTAGTAGTAGTAGTAGTAGTAGTAGTAGTAGTAGTGGCAGTGGTAGTGGTAGTATTGGGTAGCGCTGGTGGTGGTTGTTGTGGAGACAGTGAACAACACAAAACGGTAGAAGAACATTAGCATCTTGCAGCATACGTTTTAAGGGGTATGATTCGGGGGTATGATTCGGGGTATGATTCGGGGGTATGATTCGGGGGTATGATTCGGGGAGGTCCCACCTTCTGCCTTTTGAAGCAACTCAACACACCAAAAAAAGACAAACCCATATGCGTGTGTGTGTGTGTGCGCGTGTGTGCGTGTGTGTGTGTGTTTGTGTAGGTGTGTGTGTGTGTGTAGGTGTGTGTGTGTAGGTGTGCGTAGGTGTGTGTGTGTGTAGGTGTGTGTGTGTGTGTAGGTGTGTGTGCGTAGGTGTGTAGGTGTGTGTGTGTGTGTAGGTGTGTAGGTGTGTAGGTGTGTGTAGGTGTGTAGGTGTGTGTAGGTGTGTGTAGGTGTGGGTGTGTAGGTGTGTGTGTAGGTGTGCGTGTGTAGGTGTGTGTAGGTGTGTGTGTGTGTAGGTGTGCGTGTGTAGGTGTGTGTGTGTGTAGGTGTGTGTGTGTGTAGGAAGGTGCCGACCCGTGTTTGCGGCAAGTGAAGGCAGGTCTTAGCAGGTAGAATTCGGTAGAATGACTTAGAACCCAGGAAATTGCCTGGCAGTTTCTGCGCCGCGGGATTGAACACACACCTTTTTTGGTCAAACAAAGTATTCTTTGCAAGCGGGTTGAGGGTTTTGGCTGGACAGCGCCTGGCCACCTGCGCCCTGAGCTCCTCGAGCTGCTTCTCCTTCAAGGATGCCACCACCGAAGGGCTCAGCGGGCTGCGGGGGCTGCGGCACTCAACGCCCGGCGGCTTGGCGGGCTGCATTTGCTCATGGCACAGCCGGTGGCTAAGGAAGCAGCTCTCTCAAGCCACTTTCGAGCCGTACCCCGACATTTGTGATTTCCTACCTGGCATCTGCAAAACCAAGTTCATGAAGGAATGCCTAGACAAGCAGTATGCATGCCCAAATGCAAATACACAGCATCACTTGTGGCACGAAGCATTTGTTCATGTTGATTCGTAGCTTTGTCACCACAACGATCTAAACGTGTGACGTTTGGCTTGAACTCGCAACACACCTCTAAAGGTAACAGCAGCGTGCTGCCTCGAAGACGTACACCCCGGCATCGATTCCGCCGCTGCCCGCTGCTAGCGCCAAATCGGCCTTGCGCTCGCAGCTGTCAAAGGTTGCTCTGTTCTTGCTTGATTCTTTGCAGCCACGGCCTGCTGGTTGGATCCTCCTTGGGCCTTCGTCTGAGGGGGAAGAGGCCTTGCGCCGCGCAGCCAGTCACTCTCCAGTTGGCAAGCTGGCAACCCATGGCACCTGCATGAGGCTAGCCCGTCTGGAAGAAGCTTAGTGTACATACGAATGCGGCAAGCCTGGCCCCCTCTTCCCCAATAAAGGTCTTGAGGTGTCCTCCCTACTTTTCGAGGACGCAGCTTGATCCCGCCTGGCACTGCAGGATATGCTGTCAGGCAGAGGCTTTGTTGGTGCCGATGCAAAGCCCATGCTTCGTGGCACCTTAGGCCGGGCTGCCGGCCCCAAGATCCAGTTTCCTCACCTTGGTCTGCCTTTCACTTTGACCAGCCATGACCAGCCCAGCAAATGTCACATAGTTCAACTACCTCGCCACACATGCTCGCTTGCAAGGCCCTGGCGCAAGGAGAAGCCATCACGAAACCGGGCGGGCTTCGGATCAGCAAGGCGCCACCTTTCTGGATTGGCGTGACAACTTCCACCTGGCGCGCCAGCATGTCTCAGCCGCATGTCAAGCCAACATGTTGTGGGCTTTGACATGTTGCCTGCCACTCGCTGCAGGGCTTTGGTCACACGTCACAGGAATATACGAGCATGAAGGTCAAGCTATTCAAGAGTGCTCATGGCGGATGGCAGCAGCCGCATCTCGCATGCAGTCACAAGGAAGAAGACAAGTAGTTCAGGCATCTTCTGAATTCAATAACTTTCCCACTATGCGCTTCTCCTTGCTGTACTGCTACAGCTGGGCCTGGAATCAATGCCGTAATTTTCAAAGGAGCAACAACCAGCACAACCTAACAGAGCCAGTCCAGGCCTACTTCTACCTTCTACCTGCTTCCACCCCGCAGGCATCATTCTGTGGCCCCCCATAATGTGACAATTCCTGATGAATTGCCAGCCTTCCACGAGTCATTGGGGCAAAACTTCACAAGCGACCCTGCAATCGGCTTGCCAAAGCGTCTCCCAGGCTTGCGCCTGGAAGGTGAGCCTTGTAGCCTGGCCCTGGAGGTGGGACAAATGCTCCACCTGGGTGTTCCTCAGCTGGGCCGGCCACTTTGGAGGCTCAGGGGCTTGAAGCAGCAAATGGCGTAGGGACCTGGGGAAAGGATGCAGAATGAATTTGGGATGTGCTTTCATTTCTTCTTGCTTCTGGGGTGTCGACATGCCAGTATGAAATCAAATAGCGCACGTTGGCTTTGGGTGGTTGAAGGATGGGCTTAGGCTTGGGGTGAGGTTCCCGTGGCTTAAGGAGGTTAGTTTCAGGGTTGGCTTCGGGTTTGTGTAGAGAAGGGTTTAGGGTGAAAACGCAAACAACAAATCAAGACAAAACGGCAATAATCCCCCCTGCCCCAAACAAAAAGAAACAGGTTCTGGTGCAACTGGCAGAGCCCTAGAAAGGCAAGAGCTGGTGTTTTTGGCTTGCTCAACAGGTGGGGCCTTGCGAGTGCAAGAAATCTTGCATGGATGTGTTCTGATTTTGTCGTGGCTTCCATTTGTTCATCATGCGCCAGACATGTCGTATCAGCAGCGTAGCTAACTCTCTCTCTCAAGTGTTCTCAGTTCGCAACCATTCCACGCAAGTCAGGAATTAGGGGGTCTGCAGCGCACATCTCAGCATGGGCGTTCATCGAAATTCATTTCGCGGGCAAGTGGCCGCAGTGCCCTGATGGGCGGCGCCTCGATTCGGCCGGCCAGCAACCGCGCACCTGCCGTGTTTCAAAGGATTCAATCGCATAGCAGAACAAGCGTGTACACCGGATGCAAAAATGAAAAACGAAACCCAACAGGGCTCAAAAGTGCTTGTGTAGGTCTACCTTGCCATGAATGCCACAAGTGGAGGTGTGGTTCCATCATGACGGCAAGCCTGAATGTGGCAGCTTTCTTGAGCTGTCTTCAAACGCAAAGGATGTGGCGGTCTGCCTTCATCCCAGGATTGCTGGTCGTACCCAAACCTGAGCTGCGCATCCAGCAAGCATTGCAAACACATGAGGGCCATTCTCTGCAAGTAGATCAAGTAGCAGCCAAATAATGCACACACTTTCCATGCCAGGGCAGGCACTCCACAAAGAACGCTCTGGCCGATGTAACGGGGGCAACGGCAGGCACACGGATGCTACAAGCAAACCTGGCGTCACTGCAATCGGCTTGGTGCAGGTGGGTCCAGCGTTCCCCAACACCAACTTCAAGCAGCAGGGAAACCCTTCAGCAACCGTCCTATCCAAAAAATATTGGGCACAGTCTGCAGCCATATAGACAAATGCAGGGCAAACCCATAGCTGGTCCCAGCTGCATACCTGCGCCGAGACATGCATGCAATCTTCAATCTACCATGGCCTGTTGCCGCACCTGGCGTGCGGCCACGCCAACACGTTGGCCAACTGCGAGGGCGATCCGCCTGGGAGCGATGCCTTGGGCCTGGGCCCTGCTCAAGAACCAAGGCCTGGCAGCTCAGCAGCGCCCTCCAGGCTGAGGCCCTGAAGCTATGTTTCTAGGAAACGGCTAGACTGACGTGCAACACGTGGAAAACAGGGGTTGTTTAGACATGGAAGCAGCATTGACACTCACATGACCACCTGATTGAATCAGTTGCAGGAATTCAAACGAGGAAGGACAATATTCAAGCCTTCTAAGTAACGGTCCTCATCTTCCAAGATCCAGATGTAGTCTCCCGGAGCTGAAATCCTAGCAGCCCCTTGACCCTCCCAGAGAGACGAGGCATCACAGGCAAGTAGCGGCAACATCCTGCCTCAATGCCCCCCACAAAGTCACCTGGGATGCAGCGAAGCTGATTCCCTTGTTGTGCCCTGTGAGCCTGCGACTGATCAGCTTGGAACAATTTTCCCGCGCCAGGGATGCGAGGTCCAATGCTGAAAGGCTGGCAGAGGTTCTGCAGCCTCCAGCTCCACAGTATTCTGCATTTCGTTCGAAATGAGCTGCCACGCAATCCACTGACGCCATTTTGTTGAGCGTCTGAATCTTGCATGAGAACATATCATTTGGAGTGTGTGCTGTAAACGGCTTGTTGTATGAGTTTCACCTGAACTGCAGGGCAAATGTGAAAGTGCTCTCTGGCCGCCACGTGCAAACATTTTCGGGCTTGTATCAGGCTTCCTTACAGGATGCAGCCAACGTCACATGCTTGGGGGATCCTCGAAATCAGCTGATGGATTGGTGAAGAGTTTGGCATCCTTGAATGGACCCGAATGTAAGCTCCAAACACCTGCGGGCCATGAGCTGGTGAGTCGCCCTCAAACCAAACACGGCAATCCACGTTTCACGTGGTGCCATGCGCAACCGCGCAACATGCGGACAAGGAGCAAGACTACGCTCCTCGCACATATCATCTCATTCTCCGAAAACCGGCTGAAAATAGTGGTGGCCAGCTAAAGCGATGCTGCCACTCATTCTTTCTGCCAGCACCATTGAAAGTGCACGTGGCTTTTCCATGGTACGGAGGGGAACCCATCGCCCCGCGTCCGGCGATAGCAACTAACAGGGCCCACCGCATGCCTCCACACAAGGGTTTCTTGTTACACGACATGCATCCCCATCTTATCGTGGCCTCTTCCTTTCAATATCTTAAGTTTCAAAAGTAAGATAATGTCTTGCCGTTTCCCAGGCAACTTGGCGATTGACAATGCTTTGGCATGTCGAAATCCGCTGCCCGCTCAGCTCACCCCATCTCCTGCAAGCGAGGACGTTGAACAAAAAAAACAAACAGCGGCAGAGGCGAAAGCAAGGAAACTGCGAACGTGGTCTTCAGATTGCTGCCATTCATGTGATGTTGCTAGCTTGAATGAAGCACGATAGGCGAATCTGCTGCGCCCTGTGAGATTCCATGATTTGTCCTTCGGCATCCGCAAGCGCTTGTCAACATCACCCCGGTTGCTGGACTCTTTGCACTTCAAGCGCTGCCCCACACGCGGAATTCAAGGAAAGGCCCAAATGGCGGCTGTCTGAAATTTCTTGTTCCGAGAAATGCCATCTTCGCAAAAAACAAACATACTTTTGCAACCTCCATCGGGCAGCTTTCACGGGGCTATGTTGACAAACTTTCGCCAAACAAGCAATAAGTTGCGAGGTCCATCGTGGAACTGGAACTTGCCTGGTACAACACATAAGACCAACTGGCCTTCCCCTTCATATCTCAACGCAAAGGGTAATTGAGAAGGAATGTTCAACATTCATTCAATCATCAATAAACAGTCCATGCGGCAATAGTGTGCACCTACATGGACGCTGCAGAACCATAGGGCCATGCCCACGTTTGCAACGGACAGCACCAGCGCTCCTCAATCTCCTGCATCATTGCAGCCAACTCGTCTGCAGCTTTACCGTGCTTCCCGGCCTCATCAACATAATCATGGAGTTAGCACTGGGCAATACAATTATCCAGAGCACCTCTGCTAGGAGATTAACCTTGCCTTGCTCCAAACATTCCATGCCCATCTTTGGATTCAGGTGGCATTTACACTGGTTGCTCGCTAACTTGGCGCCACGCATTTCAGAGGTGAACGCCCAAAATGGCCTTAACCGTTGGGGGGGGGGGGCCTTTGAGTGTGGGGGTGGAAGGGTCTGAAGCAACAACCTCCTCACTCCTCCTGCAGCAATTGTCGTTGGGCTCCGAAACTATGGCTTGCTGGGAAACAAGCCCCCAAGTGATTTTGCGAAGTCCGAAAAATGCAACCAGTTCAATTCCCGGAAGTGTGCCCGCTAGGCAATCAAAGGTTCCATTAAATGTGCTATTGGACGTTCTGTTGCTTGGAGGTGCCTGGTTGCCTCCAAGGAAAAAGAAAACGTGGGCCGCCTACTAAGAGACAACATCCAAGGCACTCAAAAACAGAAGCCTTGCCAATGGACAGGCTTTGACTGCCAAGGAAAGTTGGAGCTAAGTGCGTAGGAAAGTTGGCTTGGTGGCGAGACACAGCTTCCCACTATCAAGCAGGCAAAAGGCAAACAATGCAAGCTCCACAAAGCTAGCCAAAACTGAGCGGCGCCCTTGTTCATGTCGATCCGGTCCTTACAAGAGCACATTTGCGAAAATGCCCGCCGTGCTTGCAAACACTTGCATGCATGTAGCCCAGTCAGATGCCAAAGAGTGAACCCTTTTCGGGAGAGAGAATGATAATGCCTACCAGTTTATCCCAGGTTTCAACCTTTAGCGTGCAATAGCTATTTTGACCTTCTCACTGTCGCACGTAGGCAAGGATGTGTCTTGTAAACGGAGCTTTTAAGCAAGGAATGCGGCGCCGCTGGCATTCAACGCCTACACTTCAGCTGACGGGGTGACCAAAATGTTGGCACAGACTGCCGGTGACTTGTGCTTGCCGGGCGTCTGGCAGCAATGGCGTCAACCCTCGGGGTCTTGGAGTGGACGAGCCACGCGCAGTCCGCTGCATGTCCCACATGGCCAGCCTTTTTGGCCTCAGTTCAAAAGTGGAGGGCGAGGTCATGCAGTTGCTCGCTTCAGGTTGTAGATGCATTGTCTGGACCCATCAATGTTATCTCATGGCAGTTTGGTGCAATTGCTGGCAAGCAACACGCAGCCTCAGGCCAAGGCTTGAGCTCAAGCTTAGTTTAGAAAGTTTGCTCTGTTTGACATAGTATACGTAGGCCGGCAGTCGCACAAACACACCAACTACGGTTGACATGGCCGAAACGCTGAGCCACCTTTCTCAAGAAAGGCCTCCGGAACCACGGTGTGACCCGGGGTCAATGCGGAGCTTTGGGCCTCAACCCATTGTTACCCTGAACTTTGACCCCCTCAACAACAGCATGATATCGTGTTTTTGGAGTGTGCTGCTCTGGGAGGTGCAGGGTCTTCCGTGGCCGCATGTGTGCGTTATCTTACCTGTTTTGCGATAGGCGTTGGATCTTGCCTGCGGGTGATGCTGGGGATGCTGGCAATGCTAGTGATGGCTAGCAATCTATTTCTTTAACTGGGGCCTTTTGCGCAGATCTTTGATGGGTGGCGTGCTGTTTTTCGCACGTTGTCGGCACGGTGGTGGGCCGGCATTCGCCACCTTGAGCAGGATCCGCAGCAGCATCACCGGCACTCACTGCAACATCATTGGCATCGTCACAGCAAGCGAGTCAACGGCCGCGAGCGGTGGCTGTTCAAACAGGGAATCCTGAAACACAAACTGAGGTGCCAGCAACGCTGCCACCATCACTGGCGTCGCAACAGCATGTGGTTGAGAGGCAGCGCAAATGGCAGGCAAAACCACGAAATGACATGCAAGCAGCAGGGGAAGGGAAGACTGCTGTTGCAAAGGCGGCGTCAGCTTCCTCAGTATGCACCCTCCAGCCAGCAACACCCCTCACACTCCACCGCGGCAAGGTGCAGAACCAGACATCATCAGCAAACAAATTCACCGAGCAAACTCAGCATCCATGCTCTCTTGCAGAAGGCTTGCGAAGCTCGGATTCCGGACGTGCCACCCTGAGTTCCTGCCCTCTTTCAAACCCAAATGAACAAGTCACAAATACTGGCGACGGGCCCCCTAAGCCATGTTGCAGGAAGCCACGGTTGGAGCCACTGGCTTGGCCAAAGGCCCATGGTTTTTGTTTTCTGTCACTTGCTACGCTTGGCATGGGTTGAGGTGCAGCCTGCAAACTAGCGGTAACTTCCATCTGCCACGCTGCGCAGACAGCCCCGGCGTTGGCTCCTTGATGTAGGACATCTCCCTGTTCGGCTTCCCGGCAAAGGGGTTCCGTGGCATGCGCAAAGAGTCGTCCCACTGGAGATCGCGGTGGCAGCCATAGTCTGAGATACAAGACATGTCTCCCCCAAACACCGTGCTGCCCATGAGATCAGCCCTTGAATGCTTGTGTTGCAAAGGCGAATTGCGATAAGCCACCGGCAAGTGCTCAGGTTTGCATGCAAGCGACTTGACATGGACCAGCGCGGATCTTGGGCTCGCTCGCCATAGTGGGTTGTCATTGGTAGGAAGTCCTGGGTGTCAAGAGCTATCTTTCAATCTGAAATCATCTCGGATCAAAAGTTCCATATTATGGTTGCAACCTCTCCCTGAGCAGTCATGATGATATGTGCATGCGTGTCATATTTCCTTATAAATGTACACATGGTTATGTTTACATGTTAATGTCTATACATATGCATATACGCATGCATATCCTCAACACGAGCCAGAACTGCACACAAAGTAGCCCAGAGTGGCAACAAAACAATTGCACAGCCTTCAATGAAGCGCTTCATAGATTCTGCTCGCAGTGCGGGTAAATGTGCTGGTCGAAAGTTCTTCTTGGTGAGGGGGCTGTCCTGCAGCAACAACTAACAAACCCTTGCAATGATGCCGATGGCAAGCAGCCGTCCTCATAAAAATGGAAGCCATTTGAGGAGTGCCACTTGAAGGGCAAAGTTCGGTGCCCATAGTTGGTCGAAAATCCCCACTTCGTGTCGCTCATGGCTGGCCTGCACACCGCTTGAGTGAAGAAGCTGCGGCAAAGCATCGATGACTCATGTTGCCCATTCAGAGTCCCTCTGAGCCCGCTTTGCTGGAAGCTTGCACAGAGCTTGACCACACTACAAGACTGATAGGGCTTAAACATATGCCACGTCGTTTCGAACGCACCTAATAACACAAAAGAACAAACACAAACATGAACACACGCACAAAGTCCCGCCATCCCTCCAGGACACTCCACGCACGTACGCTGACACAGGATAGAACAGCACCCCCTTCCCCCACACGCACGGACACAGACACGGACACGGACTCAGACACGGACGCGAACACAAACACAAACATACACACACACACACACTCCCACACACAGACACACATAAGCGCACACACATGACATAAGCACGACATGCAAGCAGGTACGCTTTTTCACAAATACACACATGCAGACACACACGCACACACGCACACACACACACACACAAAAGAAGAAACACACAAAAAACAAACCAACAACACAACAAGCCAACCAACCAACCAACCAACCAACCAAACAAACAAAAAACAAACAAACACACAAGAACACGGAAACACACGTAAGCACACAACCACTTGCGCAAACACACACACACACACACCAAAACATGCACAACGAGAAACACCGACACTCAAAACCAATTCAAAGCTAATACTAAATTGCCGGACCTCTTGCCCAGACCAGCCCCGGCCTTATTAGAGGGTAATTCGTCCGTGCACAAACTTGTGCTGACCGAAACCAATCAAAACAAAAAAACAGAGTCTCTCCCTTTCAAACTTTGAACCACAACCATGAAAGGATCAGTACAATTTGCTTCTGCGGGGAGCCAAGCTGACCCCTAATTACCCTATTAATAAATATCGTTTGCCCCCCAGACTTTCGCTTATTCATACAGAAGGGGGGGGCATGGGGCTTGCGTTTGCAGCCGCACTAAAACTGGCAGACTCAGTCCCTTCCAGCATTTGGTTTCAGCAAAGCAAGCATTCTCCCTGCAATGAAAACAATAAGAACACCTCGAGTGTTCAAAAACAAACATGCAAACTAGATGCCCTGTAATCAAACATGCAAAACTTTTGGTTTTCTCAAAAATCACAAGCGCACGACTGAGACCCATGTCTTCAAGCCATCTGCCCAAAGCCATGCAGTCTGCAGTTGTGTTTTTTGTGAAATTGGGGGGTCTTCATTGTTAAGGCCCAGGGGGAAGGAATTACCAGAAACACAAAGCCGCCACCCACATACACACACACAAACACACACACACACATGCAAACTGACACACAGACAGACAGACACACAGACACAGACACACAGAGACACAGAGACACAGAGACACAGAGACACAGAGACACAGAGACACAGACACACAGACACAGAGACACAGAGACACAGAGACACAGACACAGAGACAGACAGACACACAGACACAGAGACACAGAGACACAGAGACACAGAGACACAGAGACACAGAGACACAGACACACAGACACAGAGACACAGAGACACACAGACACAGAGACACAGAGACACAGAGACACAGAGACACAGAGACACACAGACACAGAGACACAGAGACACGCAGACACGCAGACTTGCAGACACGCAGACACGCAGCACGCAGACACGCAGACACGCAGACACGCACACACGCAAACACGCAAACACACACACAGACACACAGACAAGCAGACACGCAGACACGCAGACACGCAGACACGCAGACACGCAGACACGCAGACACACACAGACACACACAGACACACACACACACACACACACAGACACACACAGACATAGACACACACACAGACACAGACACACACGCACACACCAGCCACAAAACCAAGGAGGCAGCAACATTCCCCAACAGGTGCGCGAAGTACCCACACACACACACAACCTGTTTTAGCTCACGTGCCTAGGGCGGACTCACATCGCATGGCTTGGCCAATCTAGACAGGCCTGCGTAGCTACCACGACAATCAAGCAACCAACTTGGGAGCCCGTGGGGCCGTATGGCAAGCTGAAATCTTTCTGGGCGGCGACTCTTCCAAAACCTTTGCTGCAGTCATATCAAGCAGAACCTTCCCCCACGGACTCCTCGAAGTGTATATACACACCCATAAACAAGCGCTTCGCTTGCCATGGCAGCACGCTTCAAGCAAGTGTTCTAGCTGAGTTGAAGTGGGAGCGGCTCCCAAAGGTGCTACACACCCCTCAGCAACTGTGTGACGTGAGATTCTCAGTTCATGTTCCAGAAGGGCCAATCACGCAACTAATTTGTTGCATCTTCGAATGGGCACTGCAACGTTCACACAGGGAGCCAAGCCTTTGAAGCCACAGCTACAAAATGGGACCTGCAGCAGCGGCAAAGCCAAAAAATCACTGACGAGTTCGCCACTGATTCCCAGGCGGTCTAAGCACGCTGCGCTGGATTTTGCTAGCCGAGCTTTCGCAAAAAACTGCTCAGAGACCGGCCCAAAGAGCATGTCAATCAACCTGACGAATCACCCGTGAGTGGCTTGTGGGAAAAGGCATGCAACCACATGCATCCCACCCCTTGTTGGCAATCTGTCAAGCCAATTCCAACACCAAGGCTCCCATTTGTTGAATGCCATAGGCCTCACCTCGGGACGACTCATCTTCCCAGCAGCGATACCACATGCACGGGAAGCAGTTATACCTGCCCTCGCCCAACCCACACAAGTCGGTCGAGCACACTGTCAGGCATCGTCCTCCTTGCAGCCTACAGTTGTTGTTTTGCTACCGCATTCTCTGAGGGCCAAGCTTACCCTGCGAGTGAAAACCCCATGGGCTGCGGCATAGCTAATTATAAACATGCGGCTAGGGGTCTGACTGTTTCATGACACAATTGTAACATGCAACTTGCAGTTGTCGCGGGGGAGTATCCTTATTTGCGGCCCAGATGCCTCTCGAGGCGTCCTGGACGCAAAGGACAACTGGGTGTTGGATTGTAACATAATATGATAACGTTCTTGTTTGGCTGAGGCTGAGTAGGGAAGATGGCCCAATGTGTGCAAAAGCAATGCCAGCACATGCCAAGAGCAAACCACATCAGGAAAGTCCGACACTGAACAACAAGCTTTGATCCACAAATGGAACAAGCAACATCAACTTCTCACGGCGCGTAGCCCCTTGTGCAACAGCATCCCTTCAAATCCAGCCAACTCTCAGGTTGTAAAGCAAGCCATGGGTACCGTGCAACTCTTCTCCCTTACGATGGGTTCAGCGATTGTCACCCCGAATCTTTGTCCAGCGCTTTAGCACCGGCCTGAAGCCGCGAGAGGTCCTTGGTCTTGGTGCCGACGACGAGCGCCTTGGCTGAACGGCTTCGCCGGATCGCAAATCCTGCGTCCCCATGCTGGACAACTTGACCAGACTGACGTACGGGCAGGGAAAAAAGGTTCATGTGCTGCCCTGATACTGCCTTCCTGCACATGTAAGCATCAGCAGGCCAAATGACACTGTTCATTGGTGAAAGTTCATGTCCTACTATACACATGGGATTAAACAAACATCCATCTCGAACCCGCCACCCAATGTTTGCAGTTAGGAGTCCCAGTCAACCGCGCTGTGAGAGGAGCAGAAGGAGAGGGCGACGACGGGTTGAACTCTTTGGTGTAGGCCATCTCACGAGTCGTCCTCCCTGCGAATGGGTTCCGCGGGAAACGCAGTGTCTCATCCCAAGGAGGGCCCTTGTGGGACCCATAGCCTTGGCTGCGTCGCTGTCAACTCTTCCATCACCACTCACCAGGAGTAACCACGAAAGCTCCTTGCCAAGAAACAGGACATCGCCCAGCGCTCGCTTTGTGGCCGCTCTCCATACGGGGTGTCTAACGGAGCAAAGTCGTCCCGATACACCGGCATAGAGGAAGGACGGAAGGACTTCTTCATAAGTGGGTTGGGGTCATAGAGAGTGAAGCCTGAGAGTGTCACGTCAACAACACTGCTAAGAAACGGCCGCCATATTGAGAACTCGCGTCGCAACTTCCAACATTCAGTCAGAGCAGTTTCACAAAAGGTCGAGTGTTAAGCATGGCCAGCAGGGTCTGCGGGTGCTGAAGCCTCCTTCTCAATTTCCTGTTGGTTCTTTCAACTCGCTGAATGTTCGTGTTGCTATCTTTAAGTTTCCTGGGTGTGTTGCATGCCAAAGACTTGTGCAGCCAAGGCACCTGCAGCATGCCACTTGAATGGCAGGTGTCGATGAGCGTAGTTGGCACTGAATCCATATTTTATGTCGCTCATGGCAAGATGGCCGGCTTGCCCATTGCTAGCTACAAACTGAGCCTTGACGCAACAGCAAGTGCGAGAAGCCCACAGACTAAGCACTCATCATGGAAAGCGGTCGTCTAAACGTGGTTTGATGACAAAGCACTGGCTGACAACACTTTGCTCTGGATTACTTGCTTTCCAAGAAATTGAGCGCAGCCAAAGTCACCGCAGTGCGCAAGGGGAAGATGCGGACCACGGCTTCCTGTCCCGACCTGGCAAGGTCAAGCCTATGAGGCGTACTGGGTGTGCACGCAAAGCCGCAATGCCATGAGACCAGTGCCCTGAGTGCCCAACGCCCAGAACGGGAAGCCAGACAGCACCTCAGGGATTTCGAAGGCACAAAGGCCGCCAAATGCCCCAAGCGTTCCAAACGTGTCAAGAGAGGCACAGCAAATGCAGGACAAGAACGGTGCACTTTGCCGGCCTCCAGACCAAGAGCGCTTCCGGTGCCGTCATCTTCACCAGTCACAACCTTCCAAAGCACCAACCCCCTTGAGCCTGCATCAGCTGCCAGCCTTCATTTCCTGTCGGTAGATATCGAAAGCCTCTGGAACACCTGAAGGTGTGCGGCGCCAACACTTCGGACACCCCAGGCATGACCTTGACATCTGAGTCACTGGCTCGGACTGAAGCCCGGCGTGACGGAGGTTCGGTCGACCGCCGCTCCTGCTGAAGTCAAAGATGTGAGAGCCTTGCGCGAATCACAGTCCAAGCCGAGAGATGTGCTTGACGAGACTTTGTTGTAGTCGGCTTGCTCTGAATCAGCCAAGATCAAAATGCTAAGGTCTTGCACCCAGCTGCTCTGGTGAGCGGCGTCGTAGCGGCGAGGGTTGAACACCTTGAATTTGCGGCTTCCTTCTTCTTGTGTAACTCACAAACTTAGACCGGGTAATTGGCAACCCTTCCACCAAACGCTTCGTGAATGCGGCAAGCTGAGCAACAAACATAGGCTATTCGCAAACACGCAGGGGCAGTGGCCCGTATTTGGAAGCCATAGCGTCGTGCTGCCACCAGCGCACCCGCCAGCGTAATGCTAGCTGCATGCCTGCCAAAAAAAAGGAACCATTGGATCACGCATGTCTCCCAAACTCACTGGCCCAGAGGCAGGTGCCCGCTCGGCTGGCAGCTTGTGATGCTGGGAAGCCCCCAGGTCCGCTGGCCATGCCCATCCTTGGAAAACAAAGACGGGTCAAAAGATTTGGGATTGTGCTAGCGGGTGCTCGACGTCTCATAAGAAACAAACGCCTCTTTTAAATGATTTCAGCAACATTTGGCGGCATTGCCTGGTGGAAGTCTCAAGCCTCAAGCAATGACTTGTTGGTGGAGTGTGTTGGTTTATTGGCTAGTTGGTTTGTTTGTTGGTTCGTTGGTGCTTGAGTTGTCGGCCGTTGATTTCTTGTGTGCTGGTTTGTTGCGTGCTGGCTTGCTAGCTTGTTTGTTTGGATTGCTTCTGTGCGCAATGGTACGTCAGTTGCTCCACTCCCGACTTTGGCTCAACAAGTTGTGGCATGTAAATCTGTTCTCAAGCCTGTTGCCGTGACAACCAGTTCCGAGAATGTCAAAGCGCCCAAGCACCGCTTTACGACTACTGGCGGACATGTGTGCTGCTGCCAAGTCTCTGCCGCATAGTAGGCTGCAGGCAAGTCCTCGCCACCAATGCGAGTGACGGCCCACATGCACAAATTCGCACAAAGACCACATCGACATCCGAGTGTAGCCATGATTGGAAAGCATAATATGTAGGAACGATCTGCATGCAGGCAGCCATGCAGGTGCATACGTCTGCGTCTGTGTGTGCTGTGTAGGCTTATTCATGGCCTGTTTGCATTCCGGTTTGCAGAAAGCCCTGCCACCATGCCCCAGCTTCGCAGCCAAGGCTCAGAGCAGGCCGTAGACTCGAAGCTGAAATCCTCGTGGGCCTCCAGCAGCAACCTGGTGCAAAGTGGATAACCCGACCCGAGGACTCATTGCGAGCCTTGCCAGGTGCACGGACTGCGCTGCTGTAAAGAAGACCTGGGCATTCGCACAAATGCATTTTTTGGAGCTTCAGATGCAGCTTACGCAAGGTATGGGTTCAACGGTTCAAACCACTGCATTGCCAAAGGCTCTGCTTGCCTGAAGCCAGTTCGCTGTCAGAGGGCCACTCTCTGGTGAAGCTGCCAAGCCTTGGCGCGTAGATGGATCTCCGTACCCAATGCATGCAATACTGGGGCATTTGAGAGTCTGTTTGCAAGTAGGGTGTCTCTCAAGCCAACCAGATTCAACCCAAATCAAGTAACTCGTCATTGAGGACTGCATTTTTTGATTGTACTCTTCTTGCTGGTGCTTTTGCTTCAAGAGTCTCACTTGCATTGGAGCTACAGGCCCGCTCACATCAAACGCAACAAGAAGAGCTACCTTGGGGGCCCTCGCCAAACGTGCAGGCAAGCTGCAAGTAGGCTGGATGAATGCCGGGCTCAAATCACCAAGCACTGCCACGCCTGAGCTTGCCAAGGTTGACGTCTCTTGGCTGTCGGAAGTTCTGTCCCCGCCGGCCTCTGCTTGTGTTGCTCACCTTGGCAATGCACTGGGCATGGGCTATTGGCCCTAATTAAAATCCAAGCACTATGCCTCGTTGGCCTGGAGCCGCATAACCTTATCCCACTCAAGCAGTCAAGAGAACTGGGCACATGGAGTTCAAATAGTCTTGGCAGCGGGCAGCTTGCACTTGGGTGGAATGGAAGCCGCTCGCCTCAAGCAAGAAAGGCCCAAAAAGGCCGAACAGAAAGGCCCCTTGTACATGCGAATGGCACAAGAGCACGCCGGCCTGCATTGTCAACTGCCACACCTGGGCCAAATGCTCCAACACGATTCAAGCCATGTCAACACACAATGCTCGTTAACCTGCATGGCGGCAGCTCAACTCCAAGCCTTGCCCCAATCACAGCCATTTGGGTCTGAACTGCGGGAGGGGCACATTTCTGTCGTCGTCCAGTCTCATTGGCTCAGCGGGATTGGCAAGCGTCACCAGCGCCCGCACCTGCATCATATGCCCACAGCAGCTCTGGACCGAGGCTAGGTGTCAGCTTCAATTCTCCCAGCCCCAGGATCCCAAGCTGAAAGGGAATGGTGCAGAAGGCAAAGCTCTTCAGCCCAGCGTGACAGCATGATGATGGTTGCCCAATGCTCTGTGCCCAAAGCAGCCCAAGTTTGCGAGTTGAGGTTTGCGCACAGCCAACATAAATGCAAGTCGGTTGGCCATCTCAGCTGTCAACTGTTTCTTGGCCGCTGACTGCTGAGCTTGCCCATATTGCGGCATAGGGCTGCAAGTTGTAGGTGCAAGAACGTCCTGACTGAGCAAGCGCATCAGAAAGCTGTCCTTCACACGGAACAAACCCCATCTTTCATTTCGCGCGCCCCGACACCAACCCCGCCAAACATTTTGAGCAGGGCCGTCTGACCGCGCCTGCGCAGGACCACCTTTGCAGTCTAACCAGTAGAATGCGCTCACAGGTGTGCGCTTATGATTCTCTTGGTCATGTCTATGAACTGAGCAGGGCGCCTCGAATCCGTCAGGCAACCAGCAAAGGTGCCATTTCCATACCACGCCCTTAGCAGCAACGGTTTTGATAGCTGGCGTCAACTCTCGGAAAAACATTGAGGCTCAGCATGCCAATAAACCCTCCCTCTGGGCATCAGCTGGCACTCCGCATCCAGCAAGGTGTAGCCCTCCGGCGCCAGCAGCGAGAGGGTGGCATCGCCTCGCGCGCCCCGTGCGTTTGCCATGCACACAATGCGCCAGGTCTGGCAGACGGAAGCGTTCGCCAGCCTGCGCCTGCTGAGCGCAACGTGGCACCAGGGAAGAAGTGGAGGAGGAGGTGGCTCTGGGCGCCGCCTGGAGAACCCCCCTTTCCAGAAATAGCTCATCCACCAAAGTTACAGCCCTGCTGGGATTCGCTTCGAACTTTTAGTCGATCGAGGGCGCTTAGTTCTCCCAGAACGATTCGCTCTGTGCAGCAAATGTGCCTGAGACCTGCAGCCAGGCCACTGAAAGGGTCTGAGCTGCCAAGGCCCTGCGTCACGGCGCCAGCGCCAGAGCTCACGGGCAGCCTTGGGCGGCCCATGCGTGCCAGAAGCAAACCACTCGATCTGCGGGCGCGGCCAGGAGATCAAGCTGCCGGAAGCCCATGCCTTGAGTAGTGTGGTCTAAAGCCAATGCTTGTTCATCGCCTGTCCCAGTGCTCGGGTTTCTTGGGATAATGCTGGCATCTGCTGCGGCAAAGGCACAAAGTGTGGCTTGGACCCGTCTAACAGGCGGATTTCTGCTGCAAGGCGTTCTGGAAAGAAACTTCCTTGCCATCTTGGATCCACTCCAATCAAGCGAAGCTCGCCCATACATCTTAGCAAAAATGCACGGACCGAGGTGGAGCACAAACCCCCATTTTCAGCGGGTCCTGAAGGTGCCCCACAGTCAACGAGAAGTCTCAACCTGCGGGGAGCAATGCGTGAGGCCCTTCCCCCCATTTCCAACGTCGCGTGCCGAAAGGTTTTGAATCCGGTTTCACCCGAGCGAGATCACGCAGGAAACACCTGTCAAGTGTGACAGGGCAGCCTTATTCAGCGAGGCCTGTCTGTGCTCTCCTGGGGCAAAGTGATCTCGAGCAGGTTCTGGAATGCTTTCCCAGGCACAACGGACAGCACCTGCCATCGCGGAATACACAGCAAAAACCGCTGCTCAAAGGTGTGTGTCTTGAAAAGGGGTGCGGACAGCTGGCCTGACAGGAGATGCTGCGAGGCTGCGTCAAAGTCAAGCAGGAACAACTTGAAGCAGGGGAAGCTGTCCAGGCTGTGAACGGACCTCAACCAGGTCTGTTCCCTGCACATAGCTTGCACATGTACGGAGCTTGCGCATGCACAGAGCGGACAGGCTTGCTTCTCGCAAGGACACGTTGACTGTCGACATCCAGCCGATCAAAGCACAAGCCAAGCGATTTCCAGGCCACGCCCTGCAATCGAGCTGCTCAAAAAGATGCGGAGATGCGCTCCAGGGTAAAGGGAGCGGCCGGCTTCCTGCAGAACTCTGGGGCTTTGCTTGAGAGTCGCTCGCGGTATTGAATGCAACCAAGCATCGTCCGCGATAAGCAAATCGAGCTGCTGGTCCTGTAGACGCCGCACAAGGGGGGTGTCGTAAATTCTTGTCCCATAGTGGTATGGTAGGGGGCCGCTGGCATTTCTAGTGGGTTCAGCATGAGTGATCATGAGTGAAAAACAAAACATGTTTCGTGTCATTGTTCGGCGGGGGGTAGCGTTCTGCAACAAAGTGTCTCCAGTTTGTGATGTTCGATCTGCTACAGTGCAAAATAAACGTGGACGCGACATGCATATAATATGCACAGCCATCTTGTCAACAGCATGTTGGTCGTACTTGCGAGGGCGGAATCCGCGCACGCGGGCTCTGCACGGAATCCGCAAGTGTGCATGCGGACACGCATGCAGCTCGCGAAGAAGAAAAACGAAACAAAATGGTGCCCTGGTGACGCTATCCATGGCATCCTTGGCGCACCAAGGTCGGAGAGCCTCTTCATTGTTTGCGGAAGCCAAGCTAAAGTGTGGTAAGAGAATAGGAAAGCAGTAGTGTCTCTAAGTGTCTTCGCCCGGAGTCTGAAACTGGTCTAGAAACGCTTTGAAACAAATGCCAGGCCCCTTGCACCTCCGGTGCTGGTTAGCAAGTGACCGTGGCAATTGTATTAGCGCGCCAGGAGTCCTCAAAGCATCGCAATTCGTACAGCTGAACACGTGTCATATGCTACGCATGCGGAAAGTCTTGCGCTCGCCCTTGCGCCCTCTTGCGCGCGCATGGTGCAATCAACTCTCTACAAAGGCTACTAATTGCAACGTGGCAGAATAGGCAGGGTGCTTTTGACGAACCCTACAACACACAAAGAGCAAGTTCCCAAGTTCGGTCCATAGCGGAGTGGTGACTGAGCATCAAATCAACCACCAAAAAGCCCCTCGTTGCAAGCAACGCAAACCAAAAGAAATGAAACAAAGAGTGACACAGGTATGCCGAGCCAGCGGCCTCGGTCAATGCCGCAACGCCGTTTGCCCCTCCCAGGACCTGAGCAGCAGTTGTTTGTCAACAAGCGCAGCATCTGCCACACGCGTTTGTCCCAAAGCGCCTGGAGCTGAGCAAGATGTGGATCGTCTGGGGCTGCTCCATCTTGCAACATCCTCACAGCTGTGCAACCGATGACGGCTGTGAGGTCTGGGGGCAATGCCTTTCTGGCAGAACGCTTAGTACCCTCAGGTGGCTGCTGCGTCAGCATCGGCTTTCCAAGTTGGTGGGTGAAGTGCGGGTCAGCACTCGCTAACCTCCAACAGCTGACGCCAAACAGCAAGGCTTCCCCTTCACGTGACTGCGGTGCTGTTAGGGAACGTGCTGCAACACCGGAGCTTCCAACCGTCACTTTGCATCACGCCTGATCTGCAAGGCGGATTCCGCACCAGGATTCGCCACAGCCTACTACGTGACACAGCAAAGGCAAAGCTGAGGCCTACGCACTGCACTGAGGGCTGTACCATAAAGACTAACTGAAGTTCCAGGTTCAAACCATTGCGCAGGCCATCGCCAGCATCGAAGACCCTGGCACTCGCCAAATTCCGACGTGTTGCTGCATTCAAGCTGGAAGCAAGGCGGATTGGCATCTGAAAGCGCCACTGGACCTTGAAGCTTTTCAGCGCGAGTCTCCCAGCAACGCTTTTGCAGCCAAGACACGTCCGTGCGAGAAAAGCTACACCCCCTGCACACAACAGAGTGCTTCCGGAAATTGATGTTTACATTGCCTTCAGGCAGCAAGAGCAGAGCGACAAAAAACCAAGTGAAGACCAATCAGAATCACTTCTGGTCAAAATACGTGCACAACTTTTAAGCCACAACTTTCAATTAGCAGGCAGAATGTGCTTTGTCTGGACTTTCTTTTCTTCCGGATGGTTTATAAGAGGTGGCTGCTATCTGAGCAGGACAGCTCAAACACAACCCGCTCCACACAATTGCTATCGAGACATCAAGCCCATGCACGCTGGCACAGGACATGCAAGCAGCCTTGGCAAAGGGACGCTGCTGTCATTGACCCAAAGCTCCCGGAACAGCCTGCAAGCCATCAGCAGTCCGTGCCAAGCAAACGATGAAACAATCACTAAAACTCCTGACTGTCAGCAAAAAGAAGTATTGTAGCATGAATCTTCTATTACAACGCTTGTTCAATGCGTTTACTGCCATACAGCAGATCATTTCGGTTTGCCGCTGCGTCATGAAACAGTTGCGGTGCAGGCATGCGCTACTGCCAGGCTGAAATGGAAACCCTCTGCTTTGTCCAGGTTGCAGCAACCATGGGCACGAGCCTTCCACAAAGTGCCTGGCTCTCGTGGCCCGACCTAGTGGGCACTGGTACCACCTCATTCTTGTATTCTTGTTTAATCTCAGGCAGGGACGAGGATGCATTGAGACTCTCCCCATCCACTTGGAGTGGCTCAAGCTGGCTGACGTTCAGGAAGTCCAGGGATAGCCTCTCCCAGCAAGCGACGCGATAGGATCACGCCTAGAGTTCCGGATTCCGGCGATCCTTGTCGTCTCGTTCTGCAGACCTTCAGGCCTCATGCCATCTGACAATGAGACGAGCAGATAAAAACAAGTCATACAAGCAGACCGCCCCAAGCAGCGGGCAAATCGGCAAAGATGAGCGTGACCTCATGAGTGAGCTGGGTGACCAGCACCGGGAATTGTCCAACAGGGAGCGGCAATCCACGGAGCTGCCACTCCAGCTGCAGTGCTGGTTGGGCTCAGCCACGCCTTTAGCAATTGGCTCGATTGCATTGGCTCGTCACTGCTATCTCTGGGTGCGCCGCTGGCAAATCTGCTGGCTCTTGGAATGTGAGGCTGCCTGCTGGTGAAAAGCCTTGCGGCACATCCGTACATCCGTGCGCTGACTCGGAAACCACGTTGCGATGATTGAGTGAACACATCCCTTGGCGTGCTCCAAGCCTGGCCTCCACTGCCTGTTGCTAGACAAACTTGTAGCCCAGCCTGCGGTCTGCACAGATTCTCAGTGTTGGTCTGAAGTCTGCACCAAACATGTCGGGTCAGCTACATGCATTCTGCCTGAGGGAGTGTTGAGTAGAGCTGCGTACCGGTACTCGCGCGATTAGTGACAGCCTCACGAGAGGTTTGGATGCGTGGATTTGAGCAAACGTCAATCTCCTTGCAGCCGTGCAGCCCAGGACCCAGCCAAGATTCGGCTCGGTAAGTGGCCTGCCGTTTTGAGGGATGCTTGTCCCCCTTAAATGCCCACTAATGCAACATGCTGCCACATGGAAGAACGTCTCACATCGCGAAAAGCAACCAACATCAACCAACAACATGTAGCTGCGATGGCACTTGCTTTTGACACTGGTGACATCGCCTGAGGAAAACGCTGTCAAGATCTAATCAGCGTCAGGCATGCGTCCAAACCAATGATGGTCCTCTAGGAAGGCCGGCAGTCCCTTGCAGGCTGCCCTTGGGTGAAAGCAACCAGCGCATCAGCAGCGGCCAAACGACTTGCTGCAACGATGTCACATCGGTCGCATTTTGCAGCTCGATCTGCAGACTCCTCGGGCCGAAAGCGTCCGCGAAGCGCAGCTTCACGACGCCCTTCTTAGCGTCAAGCTCCGCGTGACTCAGCTGGGCGAAGCGAAGCAGCGCGTTGCCCTCCTCCAACATCCGGTCCTCAAAGCACAGTACCCGGACGCGGTGGGGTCCTGCCTCGCCGTACCAAACTCGGGCGTTGAAGGCCAAAAGCTCCCGCGCTGGCAAGCCCGGAAGACCCGGCAGGCTCTGTGCTGGGACGTCTTTCTGGAGTGGTCCTTGGCCAGTCCGAAAAGGGTGACCAACAGCATAATGGCTTATGATTTTTTGCTAGTAGAAGCTGGGTAAGAGAAACAAGAAGTCGAAGGAGTTGGAAGCAGCGATGAAGCGGAACAGTTCAGCCAGCAGGCGTGTGGGCGTCTTGAGCTTCGGTTTGGTTTCCGAGCGCTGCATCTCCGGTGAAGTCCATGCGCTGCACGGCCGCAGCACACCCGGCAGCGCTGCGCTGGCCGGCCGCAGCGCGCTGGCGGGCCGCATTGAAGGCTGGCTGGCCGACTTGGACAAAGGGCGCATGGCGCATGACCCGCCAGGCGATTCAAAACTTAAATCCCACAGCTTGAAAGGTTTTCGGGGGCAGCTGATGGAATATCCGACGTACCAAACATGTTGAGCATACTGGGATGTTCTGCATGTTCGGGTGCCTGCGGCAACAGCCTCATTCAAGCAGGCCCATGTGTCTGATGAGCCCTCATGCAATGAGGACCGATGTGTTCCTGTTCTCACTGCCTAATAACGGTCGACCCAGAGTATGGCTCCGTGCAACTAGCCAGTGTGAATGTGTCGGCAGTTACTCTGCGCACTGTGGTGCAACGAACGGCATCCATCCGAATGCGAGGCACCTTCTCCGAGCGGCGGGTCGACATGCAGGGTGAAGCGCCTGAGTTGGAGCTTGGCCACACTAAGTCCCCCCTCTTGGCACTGGGCGCCTGCTGCTAGAGGTCGCTGTAACTTCATGTCCTCCAACGGCTGCTGCCCTGCTCGGTAGTGAGCATGCAGTTTGTCTCCCAGGCAAACATCCTGCCTGAGACAAGTGAGCAAGTCGCTGCTGCAGTTGCAAAGGATGTCTCCCAGAAGAATCCTAGTTGCAGGCTCTCGTGAGGAATGGGCGAAAGAACAAAGTTTGTGTCATCCTGTCCGCAAAGTCCACGTTTAAAGTTGCAAGCATTGGGGTTTGCGACAAAATCGAACTCAGCCGCTTTTTGCTGGCACCACTTGCGCTCGACTCAGAAGTCCCAGGGAAGAACTGCGTTTGCCTGACGAGGTGGACACACTCCTATGGCAGCATGCAGCTCGCACCCCCACATGCCTCAGGAGGAAGCCTCATGCCCAATCCGACCAAGCTGCCATCCAAAGAAGGCTTTGCGGAACGTCTGCTCCAGTGGCTGCCCACCTTATTCATCTTTGACACAGCCCTGACTTTAGGCACAACCAATTCTCATGCCTGTTGCCAGGGACTGTTTCGTCAAAGAAGCAAAGGATGCTTTAAACCAACACAAGAGACGATCCTGATCATCTGAATTTCACTTTGTTCGTTGACTTCGACCCACTATGTTTTGCTACTCTCCTTCTCTTCCGCCACCTTTTCCATAAGCCGCGTCCTTTGCCTGTACGCGACGGGGCCAAGGGGCGTGGCACAGTCTGCAGCCGCATCCTGAGCTGGCAAGCCCTGTCAACTTCCCACGGCCCCTGCGTCTGTGCCCAGGGTCGGTGAACCTGGGCATCGCTCCAGGTACCAGTTGGCAGGGCTTCAGCAGTGGCACCTCACTTTCCAAGTCCGCCCAGATGCGGCAAGCGCAAATTCTCAAAAAACAAAGGAATTCGGAGCTCGTGCTTGCTGGGGATTTGAGCATACCTTTAAGGCGCGGCAAGGCGCCTCGGACTGCAACAGCGTGACGAAATGCTGCCCGTCGGTACACTCGAATGTCCTTCCAAATTTCTCCTTGGAAAGGTTAATCTCACTGGCAGCCGTCACTCATCATAGATCCTCTAGTAGCTGCTGCTTGCTGCCAAGTTGCTAAATTTGCCAGAGAACGGCCAAGGTAGTCCTTAGATGAAACGGGCCAAATACGTCGTGGTCCTCCACGCTGTCCTGACTTGTTTTTTTCTTTCCATCACCGCCCACCAACGTGCACCGTGTGCCTCCTGATTGGCATGGTTGGCCTTTGACCTGCCAAACTTTCAAACAAACACATCCACAATCATGCATATTGTTCCTTCCATGCCGCACCAAAACCAAGCGTGCAGCATTGATGCGCAAAGCAACTGACGTTCCACGAAGGCCAGCTCTCAGGGATTGCCTCAAACTTCGACTTCCCCTGGCGTGGGCCAGCCAGGCCCGCGCGCAGTTGACAGAGCGGCCCAGGCCGCCTGTCGCACTGCCAGCTCCCGCAGGATGCCATCGGTGGCGCTGGGGGTGCCTTGCGAGGGGTCAATGTGCGCGCCTAAAGCGCAGTGGAGTTTGGGTTTTGGCCCTGGCAACATGTTTGTTTTGTCATATTATTCTGTTGCGGCTAGCTTGATGCCCGGTCTGCTCCGCGCCTGGCAGACAGCGCTCGTGAGGTGGAAGGAACAAGTGTGGCAGGTAGCGCAGCAGGGTGTCCCGCCGAGAGCGAATTGCAGCTCTGCCATCCTGCAGGGTACAACCCGGCCCCAAACGTGAAAAACCAGTAGCTCCTCTGCAGCACGTTTTTGCTGGAAAGTGCTATGAACGCATGAATGCTCAATATCTGAAGACTCTCTGCACATCACTGAGGGGGGTAGTAATAAGCCCGGCGAGCTGGCAGTGCAAAGCTGCTCCTCGTGTTGGGTGGAGAGAAGCAGGGAATCAAGGATTTTGGCAGCATCTTCTGTGTCACGGACGGTGGTAAAAATGGCAAACTTCTCCCAAGGCACTTGCCAGGCAAAAGGCACACTCACAAACATGGGAGCCATAGCCACGATGACAAGCACGCAAGCCCTTGCCATTGCATCATATGCCCGGCGTCCCAAGTCATAGATGTGCCCAGGGAGCACCAAGCAAAATTCAGAGTCCGCATATAGGTCATCGATGGGCCGCATTCCGCCTTCCCCTAGGGTAGCTTTCCGCGCTTCTTCACCATCGTCCCCTTCAGTGTCCTGCAACACTTTGATGTAGAGCCTGGGGTCAGAGGCATAGGTCCTGGATGGATCTTCAACAAGGGATTTGAAAATGCTCCGAACGCGAGAATTCTCTGTTCCAATGAAGGAAACAACTGTGTTCCTATCCTGCTCCGCCAAACGTAGCGCTCGTTCACAGTTCAATGTCACAGGAAATGGGACAAATACCGTGCGCAGTTGCTGGAATCCTTTACCAGCAGCAAAGGCGAAGTCAGGATGCCCAATTTCGCGCACACCGCCCACCAAGGAGAATACATTCCTCGCATAAGGGTGGTACATTGTGACATCACATTCCAAGACTGCGCAAACTGAGTAAGGGTGACATGTTCCAGCGACAATGAAATGATCGTACCCTGCGTTCCGGTAGAAATATTGCTGAGGAAGCGAGCCCCAGGTGTTCGCGATGCAGTTCAATACCTCGACGCTGGCCATGTCTGAGTCAATGTAACGCTCCACCAGCAAGCTGAAGAATGCTGGTATGTAAAAGACGGTGGCTTCATCCGGGTCATAGACACGGGCACTTGAACTCATGATGGCTTCATGCACGGCCTGGCTGTGCAATGCGTGGAGCTGCACGGCTCTTTCCCAGCCAAAGCCTTCAGATCTTGAAGTGAACAACTCCAGCAATTCCTCGCCCGCGCAGTTGGGCACACCATGGACGAAAATGCGCACCGACTGCTCAGGACTCTTCCAACTCTCCAGAAGCTGCGAGCTTTTTGCAAAGTCAAAGGCGGACAATTCCAGCCAAACCTTCTTTTTGATGCGTAGCATGACGAGCGACTCGTCTTTGTCTGGGGATGGCCTGGCGGCACCATACAGCATCTCAATGGTAGGCTCCATCGTTTTCTCGTGGAAATCCTCGATGAACTCAGCCGCAACCAGCCGGGCGGCCCACACTTTGAACCAAATAAGGCATGGCAAGGTTCTAAGCCTGGCCATGGTCTTGGACGGGCAATTGATTCCAAGACCTCCAGAACCATCGGAGGCAAAATGTGAAGCTGCGGGAGCCCTTGCTGCTCTCTAGTGTGGCGCTTGGCCTTCCTTGCTCTGAGCCGCATAATTACTTTCAATGTATTTTTGCTGTATGCCAATGCGGCACAGACAATGGCAACAGTGAGATGCATGGCAATCAACGTCTGCATGGTGACAATGTCTTGTGACGGCAATGGCTCTGTAGGATTCTGTTGGGAATTTGGTTGGGGCATTTGTTCATCACGGCAAGTTGTCATAGCTCTCGCTTCAATGACTGGAGCCGCATGGCAAGGGCAACGAATCGTCAAGTTCGCGGTTGACAAATGACTTGCTTGCCTTTCCATAGTCTAATAGTAGTTGACCACCTTGACAATTGGTGTATGCAAGACATGGAGCTAGAGATGCATTTATGTAACAAGCATATGGGTGTGGGACAAACATCTGGCGTGGAACATTCCCCGGTGACCCGGACGTCTGGCACGGGCCAGTTGCGAAAAGCTTGTTGTTCTGGACCTATGGGAAGGCATGTGTGGAGTCCTCAACCGCACCTTCCTTTGGTGTAAGATGGATGGATGGAAGGAAGGATGGATGCAAGGCGCAAGGCCTGACATATCTCTGGTCGGGGTTCAACGCTGATTGCTCCGCTGGGTCTGGAACAAGTTTGGAACAGTTAGGCGACTGGCTTGAATTTTGGAAATGCTTTGACTTACCGAAACAAACGGCATGTAAAGGAGCTTGTTATGCTCAGTCGTTGTTTGCGCTATTGCCGTCACCAAAGCAAACCCCTTGATTTGGCGCGAGTCCGCAAGGTTTGGCAGGGCCAAAGCAACATGCCTTCTCTTAAGCACTGAACCCCTGATTACTGAGAAACAAACGACCACGTGATAAATGCTTGGCTCCTAAAAAAACAGAACTGTAAGGGTGAACTGAAGAACTTGAGCGCCCATGGTTTTTGCTGGCATTTCCTTTTTGAGCGGCCTGCAACAAACTTGAAGCTGAAGTTCGCCAACGGCCCCAACTTGCAGAGTGGTTCCTCGCCACCTGGTCTTGGCTTTAACATAACTGGTTCCACCGTTCCACTTTGAAGATATGACTTCCAAAGCCCTCCAGCAATCAGAAACCAAGCGGCGTAAGACTGCGTGCTTGGCACAAGAAGAAAACAGTTGTCTTTCGCCATGGCTGCTGCCGCAAACACACTTGCAAACACAGCTGGTCAAAAACATGAAAACAAATGCGTTTGCCATTTCGATTCACACTGAGTGACCAGCAGAATTCTGAGCTGCTTTGCATAACCCAAGTGGTCGTAAGCAATGAACACAATTTTCAACACGTGACATGTCAGGCACACGAAAGGCGCACTTTGGCAGAACCTGCAGCTCAAATATCCAAACTTTGCAACATAATGATAGCTACGACCCGCCAGGAACCCCACGCCATATCTTAAATGACACACAACTTGCCCCGCAACGCAAGAACTTAGCCCATTTACGAAACTGCATGGCACACCTCATCAAGAATGCGCGTTTACAGCACGACTGCCTTGTCCGGCTAGTTCGCACCTATGAGTTTGTTCGAACTGCGTCCACAAACGCATAGCGCGCCACAATTCTCCAACACGCGCTGCAATGTTGCCGCAGGTGCACCCCCAACAGCCACGGGCTTGGTTCGCGCCTATGCGTTTCACATTAGTTCTTCTTGTCTGCAGTAAGTTGCGAGCTTCCAATTTGCCCGGACCGTGTCCACAAACGCGTGGCACGCCACAATCCACCAACATGCGCTACAATGTTGCTAAGATCTTTGTTCATAGCTACCCCCTATGCGCTTCCAAGCAACAGTCTTCCAAACACTCGTCAACGCCCCCTTGGCTTTGCGTGGGGTGGGGTAGCACTTGCATCTGCCAGCAAAAGCCAAGCCTGTAGCTTCTATCCATCCAAATCCTACTGGCACTGAAAAACACAAGGAACCCAATCCCACGTGTTTCCTTCTCAATATCTTGGCCAGGCAGTGTGCCATTGCGTTTTGTGCCCCCACGGCACACCGCAAATTGCCCAAGTTCTTGCCTCGCGGCTCAAGCTCCCGAGGACCCAATAATGTTAGCCCGGATTAATAAACCCCTGGTTGATGAAATGGTGGTGTCCCCTTTTAGTGGGATTCATCACTTTTGGAGGGAACACCTCCCTAATAGTGGAACGGGTTAATTAATCCTGGGTTAACATTAGAAGGCAGAAGTGGACACAAAAGACCAGTGAAGTGCGCAAAGCGTCGGCAGCCAGATCAGGGATCGCTACGCCGGCTTCATAGTCGATTTGTATCGACTCGCACCGCTTCCATACCCGAGGTAGGTTTGACGCTGCGTTGATCTTCCCGCTGTTTCGTATTTGCTTGGCTGGGCTCTTGCTATGGCATGCGACCTCCCTCCGTTCACATGCCGTTATACTAAGTGGCTTGAAAGCTGTGATTAATTCCAGGGAACTCAGTAGTAACTCAGCACATATGTCTCGTTTGTGCATTTGTTGAGCACCATCGCATCCTGCCAACTGTGTTTGTGTGCCTCTGTCTGTGCGCAGTTTCGTGCGGCATGCCATAGCGCAATCCTGGACGGCCCTTCTTCGACCCTCACATCAGAATCCACGTTAGCATGCCAACAACTCTCACATGATTCGTGCTAGGCTCTTCTGCGTGCGGTGCAGTGACCCCACAATATGCTGTGGCAGGAATCTCATTCGGCCAGGCAACTGCCATCCCTTCACCGCAAGCTTCTTTGACTACTGTGTGAAGGTCACCTCATTGGCAAACCAGGAATACATGCGCTATGGAGCTGGCAAAGGCCGAAATATGCCAAATACTTTGATCGTGGCAAATTTTCCCTTGAAACTTGACGGCTCACTTTTCTTGACTGCTCATGGCACCTTGATTGCAGATTAGCTGCGGCACACGGCGATAACCGGATTTTCTCCCTCGGCCTCCTGCCCAATTTAGCACAGCCACTTCAGAACTGTCAAATGGCTGACTTCATCCTGCCTTCTGCGTGTCAAGGAAATGCTGAAACAGAAACTTGCTGACCTGCGGCACTGTGAGTTCCGCCCGGCTTGGCCAAAGCTTTTCCTTTGCGCAAGCGAGGCGCCTCTTGTTCTGACCCTTTAGGAATACCAGCTCTTTTGTTGATTTCCTCGATGGCGCCTAGCCGGGCAAAGTCCACGCCTGCGACAGGATGCCAGATGCCCCATGACATGACGATACACCTGGCCAAGCAGCATAACTCACAAAGGGCTCCCGAAGCAACAGACCTTCACAGGCCAGCCCGTTTTCGTCTTAGGCGAGCTCGGAGAATCCTCCCTCTCTCTCAGTCAATCCTGTCAGATGAATGATCCAGTTTGCAGTGAGAAAGTTGGCAGCTTCAAGGATACCTTGCTTACCTTGAGAGACTTGCCGGAGAGTGCATGCTCAAGGGATTTGAGCTGAGGGTGGGCTGAAGCCGTCGGAAATATGACATAGAAATAAGACATCGCATTGACCACGGGGACGGGATGTGCTGTGCTGGAAACGTACGGGCGAATGGGGGCGGGGTTTCGCGGCACATCTTTGCCACGTCTGAATGCAGCACAGGCAGTGACAAAAGGTCGCGGTAAACAATGGGAGAGCTCGACAAACATCGGAGGCCGCCAACGGCTTGGTATGAGCAATCTTACGTGCGCCGTGGGTGCCACTCATCCATAGCCGGGCCTGGAGCAGAGGCAGAAAGCCATTTGGCCATTTGGTCCACGGCAAATCGAGTAGATTCCTTCAGACCAGCATCCCTCAAGTGCGTCCTCAGATCTCACAGAAGCATTGAATTCCCACGCCCGCATGTGTGCACATTAGACAACGCCTGCAGCGACAACATGCGACAACCAAGCCGCCAGAGCTGCCCTTGTTGCTCCATCAGCTTCTTCATGAAGGCAGCATCAGGCTGTGCAGTTCCAGATTTTCCGGAGTCCTTGTTGAAGCTGAAGCCGTTGCTGATAAACAGTATTTTCGCACCCGCCTGCTGAACCTTGCAGGAATCGGAGCTACGCGGACGCTGCGAGGAATTGAAGGAACCGTCGCTAACTTTCTACGCATCATGTCCGGCCTTCTGCGACAGACTCTGCCACAGTGCCTCCTCCAAGGCATCTGGAACGCGAGTATTGAACCCACTCTGGAAAATAAGAATGCCACCATGGCTTGGCACGAGCAGATCCAATACATCTTCGCCTTCACACGGCAGTGGCAAAGTTCAATCAAACCAAAAGCAATGTCAGTGCTCGTGTGCATCTGGCTCATTGTTGGGCAAGCCACGGATGGAGATTCCACCAGCGATCACCTGGCAGCTGTGACTCAAAGGCTGGAAAGGTACGCGCAAAAGCATGCATGGAGCCTCGTGACTGAGGAATTGGGCAATGACGCCTACCAGGTCCGCACTGCGAGCCTGCGGCAAGTAACACAGCATCCACCAAGGCATCTTGCCCGCTTCATTCCAAATGTGCACAGTTGGGATGGATTTTGCCTTTATGCAGGTCACAAACTTGTTCGTAGTCGGCTTGCTTTTTTGTAGCCCTCTGCCCCCCACCTCTTTCGGCAGGTCTTGCCAAAACTGCAACCGACGCTCGTCTGCTTGAGGAAATCCACTTTCAGTAGCCTGGTCACAGGGAGTTGGAATCAGGCAGGCTTGCGCACCAAGCCGAATAAGTGGCAAAGAGCATCCCTGGGTGGGCAGCTTCAAGAGTTTGAAAGCGAAGGGGCCGAGGCTGGCAGCAAAGTCCCCTCAGTATGGTTCCTTCAGAGCTTTTGGCCACGGCGTCAACAACAGTGGGAACTGCACTTTCCCAGTATCTACAAAAGACAGCAAACACACACACACACACACACACATTCCGGGCATGCAACAAACGCTTCAGACAGGGCCACACTTCTTCAAACTTAGAAATAGAAGCGCAAAACCGCAGTTTTGGGTTTGTCTCTGAATCGGGAAATTGTCCTATGGCTTCTTGGAACGTCGCAAGGTGGCCAAGAAGCCCTGTATGGTGCATAGGTGTCCTCCTCGTGGCGCACGGCTCGAGCACGGCTTCTGGACGCCAAAGCGCGAAAGCTCAGCTGGCAAAGGCCTTGGCCATCTGTGCACGGCTTGCGGAGCACCCTGCAAGCAAGTGGCTGTTGAAGCCATCAAAAATCTGGCCACTTGCTGGGACCCTTTAGAAACGCACAGGCCAATAACCTGAAGACAACCTTGCTGAGAAGTCTTCGACCCATCATGGAGAAAGTCAGCTTTGGCGAGGCAAGAGATGTTTGATGTGGATCGGCCCCTGGACTTGACAAGGCTTTCGATCCGTGAATGCCGCCCAAAGGCTTCTGCCAGTGGCTTTTGCAGCTTCCAGTGCCGAAGTGTATAAATGCTCGGCCATGCACACCGCAGCTGCGGAATCTTGAATGCCAGTCACATAGACATCCTCATGCAGGGGAGACTTGCGCCTAGTGCCCTGCAACATTGAGTATTGTGTCTGCTTCCCTGCCGGGAGAACTTTGACTCCTATGCTAACGACTTTACGGAGTTGCACAGATTAGGGACTCAATAAAACCTTTTGTGCTTGCTCACAATGACCTTTTGTTGAAAGACGCCAGGTCAGGTGAAAACACAAACCCTGATACACAGGGACAACATGCAATGTGCCAACACTGGGGCCAAAACCTTCAATACACACATATGGGCACAATGGATGACCAGTAAAAATTACATCTCCACAATCGCTGACACGCATTGAACAGCACGACAGCCGTTTTGGACTATCGGGCTGTCTGGCAATTCGCGGGCTCTCAAACGCCTTGATTTCAACACTGCGCGTAGGAACACAGGGTTGGCTGCTGGCTTCTGAGACCAGCAAAGCTGTTTTGGCTATCTGGCGATGCAATGGTTCAGGCTTCAACCCTGGCAACTGGCCCCTATTAACAAACAAGTCCTCAAAGCAAAAAACTATCAGTCAGCAACAGGAACACCATGCTGCTTGGGGAGGACCTGTGAAATTCTAGCCAAGGGCACGAGTTGAACTGTGTGGCTCGCTGGGCGCGCAAAGTTGCGCATCAGGAAAAACCACCTCGGCACCATTGAAAAACAACCCAAAGCATTCCGCAAAACAGTGCACCGAATGAAAGCCTCGGCGCAAGCACAGGGCATCATCCAGCTTGATGTCACTTGCAATCACCGCCCGGGCCTGAACGCTTGCTCAAGGGCTGCTCCACAACCCACAAGCCTCGCCTTTTCAAGCGAGAAAAAGTTGGTCAGCTCTAGGAAGCTTTTAGTAGCCATGGCAAACGAACCAGCCGATGGCCGCAGATTGCAAGCTAAAATGTATTCGTGCTTTCTCGGCGGCTTGCTGTGACATGTGTGACATTTGCTCTAGACAACATTGGTGCAAAATGGGAAAAATCAGGCAACCCAGCAACCATGCTACTGGGCCGTAAAGATTGCTGGCAACAGGAGTATCTGCCTTGAAGGACATCCATGTCGTACGTACCAATGCATGCAATCTCTCCGGTGCAAGTCCTGTCTCCCAAGCGCAATCCCGGGTCACCATCAAAGTAGGCCTGGTGAGTTGCGGACGGCCGGTACAATCATCTGAATATTGAGCTTCTCTGACATTCCCCCTCTCCACACCCAGCATCCGTGTTTCGCGGGGGAGTTTGCTTCACTGCAGAATCGAGCTGCCTCCAAAGTATTTGCACTGCGCACGTGCAGTTTGGAGATCTGAACCTCAGGTGTTTTGTCCTCCTCAAGAGTGACAAGTATCGGCCTTCGTCAAGCCCTGAGATGCCAACACTTCTGCATGTGGCCACGCCATCTGTACAATCAACCTGGCAGACAAGAACGAACTTGTCGTTTCTGATCCACCCTGTGTGAACCTAGAAACTTGGAAAGTCTCTGGGGTCCATGCCGTGAGGTGTGCCAATGTGCGCAGCTCCAGCGTAGTGTCATTCCTGGCCTGCGGTTGGATCCCTGCATCGCCCTGCGCCCTCCTACGCACCCGCCTGCACACACTGTGAGGTGCAATTCACCAAGACAGACTCAAGCGTGTGGCCTGGGCAACCCGATTAATTAAAACATCATAAAGAATTGCCCTTCTTGGGAGAACCTGGTCGGAATCAATGCGGCCCCGCAGCTGAAATCTAAGTGCTGTAGGGAGCGCCTGGGACACGGACCATCGCAAGAAGCAGCTGGAGAAACGATTTTCAGCCTGGCGCGCGCCACTCTGGAAGCGGACTTTTTCCGCTGGCCATGAACGAATAGCAACCGTGCCTCATTTACCCCGCAAGCGTTGCAAATGAGAAGATAAACTGGACAAGGGATGCACAATAGGATCAGGGGGTGTCAAGGGGGCATGAAGCCTGCTGCGTGCAGAAAAACACGAAACAAAATTAAACATATCTAAGGATGTCTAGAAGGAACTCTGCGCAGATAGATAGCTTACAGAAAATCAGAGGCAAAAGAGAAAAGGTGACAAGTGTTCAGTTTACGTGACAGTTGCAACACGTTGGGATAGAAACTGCTCAAAGTGAGCGCCCTGTGCGTGTTTCGCGTGCTGCGGGGAAGCACACACCACCTCTGGCGCGACTCCTGTTTTGTGCGGGCGCGGCGCGGGTTCGGGACGCCTGCAAAACGAGCCCCGCAACACGTCCGCAAGATCAAGTACGGTTCGAAGGCACGCAGCACCTGATGAATAGATAAACGGATAGATCGATAGCCAGCTAGATACCTAGCAGGGTAGCTAGATCAGAAAGACGGCTAGAAAGATAGATTAAAAGAGATTGGAACCGGTAGATAGATAGGTAGATGGGTAGGTCGAAAGATGGACTGATCGATAGAAAGTGAAATTAGCTAGGTAGAAAGTGAAAATACAAAAGGGTGCGTGGGATTGTTGTTTTCTTTTCCCCCCGCGTCTTGGCCAGTAAAATGTAGTGTTTTACAGCATTTTCTCGCGACATGTACGTATTTTACACTAGCCCGTCAACATCCCCGGCATAATCAACAGGTCGTGGGTAGCGGGGGCAGGTTTCAGGTAGGCAGCGGGTCTGATTGGCTTTGGAAGGGGGGATAGGCAGCACACCTGAAGAAGCGAACATTCAACAAAGGGTACGTTAATTCCGGAAAAAAAAAAGCAGCGCCCCCCTACATAGATTACATAGATTGCAAAGATTACATACACACACACGTACGTATGCACATACATTACATTACATTGCATTACATTACATACATACATGCATACATTATATTACATTACAGTACATTACATTACATGACATACATAAAAACATAGATACATAGATACATACGTACATTACATACAATACATACATTACATACATACATACATACATACATTCGTTCATACATTACACACATACATTATATTACATTACATTACATTACACTACGCTACACTACACTACATTACATTACGTACATACATATACATATACTACACTACACTACACTACACTACACTACGTTACAGTACAGTACATTACATACATACATTGCATACATACATTGCATACATACATTGCATACATAAATTGCATACATACATACACACATACATAACATAACATAACAGAACATAACATAACATACATTACATACATACATAACATACATAACATACATAACATACATAACATACATACATACATACATACATGCATGGATGCATGCATGCATTACATTACATACATTACATTACATACATACATACATGCATACATTACATTTTTTGCTTGCGCTCTCTCCAGACATACACACATTACAAACATACATTACATACATACATACAATACAATACAATACAATACAATACAATACAAGACATACATATATATATATATACATACATACATACATACATACATGCATACATACATACATACATACAATTACATACATACGTACATACATACGTACATACATACATACATAACATAACATTACATTACATTACATTACATACATACATACATTACATACATGGCATACATGGATACATACATAAACACATACATACATACATACATACATACATACAAGACATACATACATAGCATACATACATACATACATACATACATACATACATACAAGACATACATACATACATAGCATACATACATTACATACATACATACATAACACACATACATACACTACATACATACATACATACATAACATACATCCCGACATACATAAGATCCCTACATACATACATACATACATACATACATACATTCATACATACATACATACATACACTACATACATACATACATACATACATTACATACATACATTACATACATACATACATACATACATACATACATACATACATACATACATTACATACATACATACATTACATACATACATCCATACATTACATACATACATACATATAAACATACGTACATACATACATGACATACATACATACATACATTACATACATACATTACATTACATTACGTTACATCACATTACATTCATACATACATACATACAAACATACATACGTACATACATACATACATACATAACATAACATAACATTACATTACATACATACATTACATACATGGCATACATGGATACATACATAAATACATACATACATACATACATACAAGACATACATACATAGCATACATACATACATACATACATACATACAAGACATACATACATACATAGCATACATACATACATACATACATTCATACATACATACATACAAACATACATACGTACATTACATTAATACATACATACATACATACATACATACGTACATTACATTAATACGTACATACATACATACATACATACATACAATTACATACATACGTACATACATACATACATACATTACATACATACATACATACATACATACACTACATACATACATACATACATACATACATACAGTACATACATGCATACATACATACATACCTGCATACCTTGCACTACGTACATACATAACTACATATTAACATTATTACACAAGTACACATACATACATACGTACATTTTTCCCGAAAGCATGGCGAAGGGTTCTTCCGCTGGGTTCACTTGAATTGTTCTCATGAGAGTCATTACAAGGTGTCATTGCAAGGAATCATCATCATGAAAGTCAATGCAAGGAGTCATTGCAAGGAGTCATTGCAAGGAGTCATTGCAAGGAGTCGTTGCAAGGAGTCATTGCAAGGAGTCATTGCAAGGAGTCATGGCAAGGATTGCAACTTGCACTTGACTCCTTGCACTTGCAACTTGCACTTGACTCCTTGCACTTGCAACTTGACTCCATGCACTTGCAACTTGCACTTGACTCCATGCACTTGGCTCCTTGCACTTGGCTCCTTGCACTTGGCTCCTTGCACTTGGCTCCTTGCACTTGCAACTTGCACTTAACTCCGTGCACTTGCGACTTGCACTTGACTCCATGCACTTGGCTCCTTGCAACTTGCAATGGCTCTCATGACTCCTTGCAATGACTCCTTGCAATGACTCCTTGCAATGACTCCTTGCAATGACTCCTTGCAATGACTCCTTGCAATGACTCCTTGCAATGACTCCTTGCAATGACTCCTTGCAATGACTCCTTGCAATGACTCCTTGCAATGACTCCTTGCAATGACTGCTTGCAATGACTCCTTGAAACAAGCAAGGAGTCAAGTGCAAGTTGCAAGTGCAAGGAGTCAAGTGCAATTGACTTGCGAGGAGTTAAAATCTCTTCTTAGGGCGGCGGGGTAGTGCCGACGACACTACACGAAAATCGACCCTCTGCGGGGATCGGCGTGGTCGAGGTGCAAAAACCCATGGTTTTTTGCGATTTCTAAAGTTCCCGCGCGACCCTCTGCGGGGATCGGCGTGGTCGAGGTGCAAAAACCCATGGTTTTTTGCGATTTCTAACCTGCTCGCGCGACCCTCTGCGGGGATCGGCGTGGTCGAGGTGCAAAAACCCATGGTTTTTTGCGATTTCTAACCTGCTCGCGCGACCCTCTGCGGGGATCGGCGTGGTCGAGGTGCAAAAACCCATGGTTTTTTGCGATTTCTGCTGCTCGCGCGACCCTCTGCGGGGATCGGCGTGGTCGAGGTGCAAAAACCCATGGTTTTTTGCGATTTCTGCCTCGCGCGACCCTCTGCGGGGATCGGCGTGGTCGAGGTGCAAAAACCCATGGTTTTTTGCGATTTCTAACCTGCTCGCGCGACCCTCTGCGGGGATCGGCGTGGTCGAGGTGCAAAAACCCA